TTGGCAATAAATCCTCTAATCAGATAAATCTCAAAATAAACAATACCCAAATTTGTAACAAATTAGATGGCAAATTCCTTGGCGTTCTCATCGACCACAAGCTGAATTTCCAGGGTCACATTCTAAATATATAAAAAAAAGTTTCAAAAACTGTTGGCATTCTTTCTAAGATCAGATATTATGTACCCCGCCCTGCCCTGGTTACTCTCTATTACTCCCTCATCTATCCATACCTCAACTATGGTATTTGTGCTTGGGGTTCTACTACCCAAAATCATTTACGTCCTCTCATTACCCAACACAAAGCTGCTATTAGGACAATAACCAACTCTGGCCCCAGACATCACTCGGTACCCTTACTCAAATCTCTGAATATGTTAGATATTAAGTCACTGCACATTCTCTCTTGTGTATTATACATATATAAAACGCTGAACTGTAATGCCAATCCTGACCTCAAAAGCTTCATTGAAGGTTGTAACAGAACCCATGAGCACCACACCAGGAATAAATACAGTTTTGATATTCCTAGAGTACGACTTAATCAAACTAGAAATGCTCTACAAATCAAGGGACCCAGAATGTGGAATGACCTTCCCAACCATGTTAAAGACTGTACCTCTCTCAACCAGTTTAAGATAAAAACTAAACACTACCTAATAAATTCCCTGTAACCCACCTCACTCCTTTATTGTCAACCCATGTCTGTTATTTTATTTTATTATTATTATTATTTTTTTAATCAACACTGTTTGTCAACCTATTGTATTTGTGCTGCTTTTTCAGTCATGTTCCCCCTTTTTTTATCTTTATTTGTATTTGTTTTCAACACTTTTTATTCTTTATGCTCAATTAGTATTAAGTTCTAGATATTAATGTTTTTCTTGCCCGAAACGCATTGCGTAATAGTGGCTTTAGGCATTGTATGTACTAGCTCTATCTATATATCAATCCATTAATGTAACATCACTTGTATGTATGTACCTTACCTGAATAAACATATTTATATTTATATTTATTTAAACACACTCTAGCTGAAAGGTACTACTACTTTTACTGGCAAAGTAATAATAGTCATTCGCAGCCACCCAGTTATCTGCTGCAGATTTATTTAAAAAAAGCATTCTCCTGTGTGTCCACAAACAATTTATAATACAAACTAACCTCCACGGGAGGTAAGGTTCGTAACGACGACGACCACAAGGGGGTCGAGTTAGCATATCAACCTTGAGGACAGAATGGCCTTCAGTTTCAAGGACATGTTTAATATCCTTGTGGCAGTCTTTCAGGTCCTTAACACCAGTCGCAACATGGTGCGGGAGGACAACAGTGTCAATATTGGCATTTAACCGGACATTTTTGGACATCCTAACGGGAATCTCCCTAATGCTGGACAATGCGGTTAAGAAGGTACCTGCATCCTGAGGAGCAGCAACATAAGTACCAAAATGGGTGGGGTTAAAAGTAACAGAGGCATACACCCAATCAACGAGGTGTTTATGAAGGGACAACTCGTCAGCAAGTGTACATTCCAGATGGCATATAGAGATCAAAATATTTAGTCCATGCACCAGAACCAAATAAGGCATGGAACGTATTAGCATGGGAAGGAATCCTGTGGGAGCATCTGTGGGAAAGGGGGGTCGCTGTTGAGAACCCCCAGTGAGAGTGGGGAGGGGTAAAAGGCGCAGCAGCCACAATGAGAGGGGAGACGCTTCATGGGACGAGGTGGTCACCACTGGGGGCTTGGGGCTCGACCCTTCTACAGAGGGAGGGAGGGCAGTAGTCAGGAGGGTCAAAGGAGTAGCTTGGTTTGGGCAAAATGTTGCTGTGGGGACTACAGACCCCAGTCTTCCATCACAGTCCGACTCTGGGGCCTGGTCGCCCACCCCATGAGTGAGTAACAGAGGTCGCTTCACTTTCCATATACCATCAATTCTAAAAGTCTGGGGGCCTAAAACCAACTAAGTAATTATCACAAGAAGACACCAAACCGGGAAGGCTATGTAGCACCACCAAATGTGCTGAATAATCAGAGGGGGCCAAAGATCACAGGCATGCCAACACGAGAACATAAACGCATAAGGCGAATGATAGCAAAACTATCAGATTCACCAAAAATTATATCAAGGGACAATTAACCGCGAGGGACGGTCGGAAAGCAAGACACACTCTCGTCCTGGAAGTCAGGACATTCAACAAGAATGTGCACAACCGTAAGAGGAACAATGCAATTAGGACAATAAGGACCAGGGCAGCACTCCATTAAGTGACCGTGAGTTAAACGTGTATGGCCAGTATGCAACCTAGCCATGGCCGTTTCCCACCGCCATTTACGATGGTAGGAGAAAGGCCACAGAGACACACGACTCTTAAGAGTACGTAGTTTGTTACAAGTAACAGAAGACCAACAAGCATGCCAATGGGCAAGGACGGTGGAATGAATAACTGGGTACAAGTCGGAATAAGAAATACCTTTACTAGAGAAAGGACGAGTGCGGATAGCATCCTTAGCGGCAGCATCCGCACGCTCATTTAGAGAGACGCCAACGTGGCTGGAAACCTGGCAAAACTCAACCGACTTAAATTTACTGGAGATAAGAAACAGCCAATGTTGAATCTAGATGACCACCAGGTAGACCGGATTAAAGGACCCCAGAGCCATTAGGGCACTACGAGACTCGACTACCACCACAAAGGAGGATTGACAACGAGAAAGGAGGAGACAAAGAGCATAGAGAATAGCATAAAGTTCTGCTGTGAAGATGCTAGCATCCGGAGGAAGGCGACACACACAAGTGTGGTCAAGAAAAACAACAGAGTAGCCCACATCATCAGCAGACTTAAGACCTGTCGGTGAAAATGGAAACGGAGTGGGAGTGTGAAGAAAAGTGCTCAAGAAAAAGGCGTTTCATAACCGTACGAGTGGTAAAAGCTTTAGTGATGCGGGTCAGGGAAGTACAAAATTTGGGAAGGGGGACCCTCCACGAGGGCAAGGACAGAACAATACGAGGAGAAACATTGGTAATACGAACCGAAAGAGATTCTGGTAAGTGAGACAAATGGACTGAAAGAGGCAGGTGAAGAGGAACAGGAACTACAGGAGACTTAAACGTTAAATTACAACAGAGGCGAGAGTGAGGATGCTGTAAGGACCGTGCAAGACAGAGAAGACAGTAGCGATCACGGCAGTCCTAGAGAGATGGGAAGCCAGTGTCAGCGTACAAGCTGAGGCTACGAGTTCAACAAAAGGCACCAGAGCTGAGGTGCAACCCAGTATGGTGCAAAGCATCAAGACAGAAAAAGAGTAGAAGGAGAAGCAGAAGAGTATGCGGGGCAACCATAATCGAGTTTAGACAGGACGAGAGAGGAGTGCAAATAGAGGAGCGTGCGCCTATCTGCTCCCCAAGAAGTATGGAACAAAAGGTCTAAAACAAAGGAATACCACCTACCAGGGCAGCCAGGGAGGTCAAGCGTCGGCCAGTGCAGGAAAGGGTGTGTCGTCCCCAGCGGTGCTTCCCCCCTTTTTAACAGGGAAGTCCTACTGCCTCGTCCATTCTCCCACACTGGTGCAAAGACTCCATTCTCCCTTTCGCCCCAGCCTGGATACCCAACCATCCACTTAGGGCACCTCATCACAGGCGACTCCTCCAGCGGGTGGTCCGTTTACTCACAAGGTCCCCTACATTTGTGCTCAATCTCATGCACAACTCCCAAAGAGGGGCTGGAAAGGGGGCAAAGGCAACCCTCACCATTCCCAGGGAGGTGTACGCAAGCCCCATCACCATGACGAAGAAACACTATGGAGCTCAGAAAGGCCTTTGAAACTGTTAATCATAACCTCTTACTTAAACGCCACCACTATGGAATCCGAGGCCTTGCCCTGAACTATATTTGATCCTATCTTACTGACAGACACCAATATGTAGCAATCAATGATTTAACCTATCCCACTCTTATCATTAACCGTACGAGTGCCAAAGGGCAGCATCCTAGGACCTCTCCTATTTTTTATATACATCAGTGATCTGCCTAATGTATCTAACATTCTTAAACCTATATTATTTCCTGACGATACTACTCTCATCTACTGAAACCCCCAACCCACACACATTAAATAATGTTGTAAATAATGATTTAAAAAAAGTTCACTTATGGATGTCAATCAACAAACTCACATAAAACATAGAAAAGACCTACTACATCTTATTTGGAAGCAAATCGACAAATGTAATTCAGTTTCAGATAGATAATGTTAACACCAGCAATAAAAATTATGCAAAGTTCCTTGGCCTATACTTAAACTATACTTAGATAAGAGATTTAACTTCACCACCCACATACAACACATAACCAAGTCTAAAAAAAATTAGTTAGTATACTTTCTAAAGTCAGATTTGTTCCAAACTCTGCTCTCCTCTCACTATAGTATGCACTAATATATCCTGATCTTACATAAGGTATCTGGGCATGGGCTTTAACCACTGCAAACTACCTCAAGCCCATCATCACACAGCAAAAATCTGTTATCAGAACAATAACAAACTATTTTCAAACACTCACCCCAATGTTTAAATCCCTAAACATGTTAAACAAACTCACTCCACACATTCTCATGTGCCATTTACATTTACAAAACCCTGCTCTTTAATGCAAACCCTGTTCTCAAACTCTTCCTGGACAGATGTAATACAACCCATAATCACCACACTTAGAAATAAATATATCTCTGTTATCCCCAGTCAAACTTAATCTATATACAAACACTATGCAAATAAAGTACGTAAGTAATTATCAAAAGAAGGTACCAAACCGGGAAGGCTATGTAGCACCATCAAATGCGCAAAATAATCAGAGGGCGCTAAATATCACCAAGGATGCCAATACGAACTCTGCATATAAAGATACCTAGTCTATGGAACTCACTCCCTAACCAATTGAAAAGCTGTCCAACTTTTGCCTTATTCAAAAATAAAACCAAAAAGTACCCAATTTCATCTTCATAGTTTCCTACCTAGTGCTTTAAACTCACACTGTATCTAATGCTACCCAATCCCCCAATATATCTACCTAAGCCATACAACTTCACCATTGTAATCATTTCTATCATCTTATATCATAGTTGTTATATTGAACATACACATTTAACTGCATTATACCTTAAAATAATCCTCAAATTATGCTACAATGTATCTGTTCATAACCCTCAAATTGTATTTTTTCAAATTTTACACATCAAATTTCAAATAATTCACTAATTTAAGGCTAGAATCCAAAATGGACAAAATAAGGAGTACTATGAAAATTAGTATCTTGCAAACCACCACATTTTCTATGCATGGATCTGTTAGGTTGCATAAGTCACTTCAGCTCGCACATTTTAGTAGCCCTGATTTTCTGTGTTGTGGCAACTTGTGACAACTCGAGAGAACAGGCTGGAACGCAAGCTTAAATTTGTCCTCTGCTGTTCTTCGTATATTTTCACTTATTCATGTTTATCACTATACCAAACACTCCTATTCCAAGTCTACTCTCACTTTTGTTGAATGCTTTACCTTAATTCTTCTGCTGCTTTTATATGTTTAAAAAAAAACAATATTTAAACAAGCATGCATAATACACACCAACGTAAAGTAATTGTAGTCTTTAGGAAACCATTACAAATAATCCAGGTACAATATTGGCTTATTCTAAGTCACTAATAATTTATATATACAGTATATATTATCCCCTTACTTTACTGGACCATATTTCACAATTCATTTTCATTTTTATTTTGGCAATACCTTTGGCTGTTAAAAAAAAATGTATGCAAGGTTTCAACAAAATCTGAATATTCTTCAGATAATTCATAACAATATATACATTTAGTCCACTTAAATATTGAAGAACACTTGAATTTCAAAGGATAAATTACACAAAATAGAGTTTAGAGGCTAGTTCACTAGCACAATCCATTTTGGCAGCTTGGGCTATGGCAGCATCAGATGGGCCTTCTTCCTCTCCTGATGCTAGAGATGACGTCTCGCTGGGACACAGGTCCTGGATGTGTACCTTCGCTCTGCGTGAAAAAAATAAAAATAGCATTCAGTACAGCGGTAAAATTGTTTATCAGACTGGCTGGGATAGAAAAATTCACTTGAAGCTTAATGAATGTGTGAATAGGTTAAACATTGTATTAAAATAAGGAACAGCATTATTACTATGAATGTTGATTTATCAACCTTATTTGCTACTTGGTGAAAATTGTCACATTTCAATTCTTGCCTGGTGACGAAAGGCATTTGAATACCAAATAATTATTATCTTCCTACAGTAATATTTTAAACTACACACCCATGGTGGTCTCAGTTGACCGCGTAAACTTATCAGACAAGATACGGATGAAAGGATGTACCCACTGTTTCCTACTCCAATAAAATTATAATTTTTTTCTTTTTACATTTTAATACACAAACTTGTACCTTTTCTGAAAACAAATTCCAAAAATATAAACCTTCCATGTTGACATTTAGATTGTGTATTATGATAAACCTGCAATACAACTATCAAAGCTTCCTAAACAAAAATGCTTATTAACATAACAATCATAGTGCAGACATGAAGCTCACCTGAATGCCACCAAATGTGCATAAGAAGCCGGAGTGGGAATGGACACTGAACGAGTACAACGAGAGTACAAGTGGCACATTGCGTAAGTAAGGGTTTGAATATCATCCATTGACAAGTCACTGTCATCCCACAATACATGGTAGTGTGATGGTCTGCTTGTTCCTTGGATACCCTGAAAATAAAAAATCAATACTGAAGAGTAATTCACACATGACACTTAATATACAATGTCACTATTCAAATGGACATTGCTGAGCCAAGAAACAATATTTGACAACTTAACAATTTTTTTATTATTTTATAAGTGATTTTGTTTCAATGTCATTCTACCATTTGAACTCATATAGTAAAACCACAATAATTCTAGAAAACAATGAAAACTTGTAAAGATCATAATGCTTTCCAAGCTCCCACTGCAATGAATTTTTCAGCCCAACCACCTGGGCTAGAAGGTAGAGCTTCATGCAGGTCAGCATTCAATCCCTGACCGTCCAAGTGGTTGGGCACCATTCCTTTTTCCCGTCCCATCGCACTTTCTCCTGATAGTTCCCTTCCACTTCATTTAAAGGGGGAAGTCAAAGCATGAATTGATCCATTCAATCACAGTTGCACTAAATTTTAATTCAAATAGCTCATACAAATATACTGATGTAGCTTTAGAATTGAATAAAATATAACAAATCACTTGCTGTCTTGGAGACTTGCTACAGAGCCTGGGCAATATGGATGTGGTGACATTTGATGTTTGATTAAAGGTCCTCCTTTCTATCTCCTAAATCCCCAGTTCGGCTCAAGGCTGACTTACACTCAATGTGGCATTTGTTGCCCATAGGTTGCCCTCGTCTCAGTAGGAGAACGTGTCACACTAGTCACAGCAAAAAAACCAGCGCTGAATGTAATGAAATGCAATTTTCTGGGTGAGACCCGGAGGCTCTCCGGAGCTATCCAGGCTGATATTGCTTATATTAGACTTTGGCATCAGTCAATGTGAATGGAGTTCATAGGCCTACCGGGGACCACGAGCCAGAACATGGCCCCCTCAGAGAGGCATGAGGAGCAATGCCCCATAAAAACCCCCATGTGGTTCGATGCATTCTATATCTGCCATTGACTGGGTCATGCACCCAAAAAGGTAAACATCCCAAAACAAACCCCTATTCTGGTTAAGAAATTGGTACTAAAAGCCAAACTAGTGGACAGAACTCCCCCAAACAAAACGAGCAAATGAGCATGGCGTCAACCACGCTGCTGTCTGCGCAGTTCCCCCTCCCTAGGAAGGGAAAGGGGGAGCCCCAGACCCCCTCATACCAGCTACCCAAAACCCCAGTTCTGAGGCTGGGTATAAAAAAACGTGAAAAACCGCCGACCGGGAGGAAGGGAGGGATGATTGCTGAGTAGCCTTCGGGTCTCACCCAGAAAATGGCGTTTTATTACATTCAATGCTGGTTTTCTGGGGATGCCCCTACGGCTCCGTGGAGCTACTTACCAAAAGACAAAAACAATAGGAACTTACCTGGGAGGTGGTCGTTGCTCACCCCTCAACGCGAAGACAACTGGCTGCAACCGCCGACCCAAAGCAACAAAGTCCCAACTAGGCTCCAGGAACATTAACCAGGTAATGCGCAGCCAGGACCCTGTTCGACTGCCATAAACTCCGCACCTGAATGTCAGCCCAAGACGTGTTACCAAAGACGGCAGCAAGCGCAGCAAACTTACGAATGTCTTAAGCACGGGGACCAAATAACCTTGCGGACAATCTGGGAGACCTGAACCCTGGAACAGGGAAGAAGGGTAACCGGATCAACCCAAAGCACGTTCCGGTCACGTAGGCCATGGTGCACAAATGACGGCAGAGAGCCGCAACCGGACAAAACACATTGTGCATCCCCGGGCTAACCAACCGAGCATCAACAACCCAAGGACCCCTCCGGAAAGTAGCCGTCTCATTCTTTGCCAGAAAAAGAGATGGCTGTAACCAAACAAACCTATCACCAGGACCAAAAGAGCAGAAACCCCTGTGCCAGAGGAGTGCATGAAGCTCCCCCCAGAGGCCAATGCCAATAAGAAAAGAGCTTTGGAAGAACAATCCAGAACCAAAGGGGCTACAACAAACAGAGGAAAAGAGAGCACACAATCCAAGGACCAGGACGGCTCAAGTGGCGCATGAGTAGGCCGGAGGTGAACCAATGCACGAGACAGCTTGCGAAACGGCGCAGAAGTAACATCAATACCGATGTATAATACTGCGTAGCCCCGCCAGCATCACACGATATGAGGCGACAGTATTGGGCATAAGATGACAGTCCTGAAACAACCATGAAAGAAAGGACAAGACAACCCGATCAGAACCCGAAATGCACCTACGAAACGACAAAAAGAAACGGAAGGGACGAAGCACGCTGGTGGGACACCAACAACAAAGCCATCTGCTCACCATACAAGTGGTGATAGACTCGAGTCAGAAAAAACAGACGTGAAGATTCGAGAAGATCAAACCAGCCATGTACCGGACCGGACCGATCTGCTGAAAGGGGCAGAGCTGTGGAAAACCCCCCGGTTCGGACACTGAGCAAGCAGCGCCTGAAACCAAGGCTGGGCCAGCCACCATGGGGCCAAGAGGGCTATTCTCCCCTGGTAAGTCTCCAGACAAGCTAGCTTGATACCTGCTTTATGGGGTTCTGGGAGGAGTTCCATTCCCTAAGCCCAGCCCGAGGCCAGGCTTGACTTGTGAGAATTTGGTCCACCAGGCTGTTGCTTGGAGTGGCCTGCAGGCCTACATACCCACCACAGCTCAGTTGGTCCGGCACTCCTTGAAGAAAACTATCCAGTTTTCTCTTGAAGACATTCACGGTTGTTCCAGCAATATTTCTTATGCTTCCTGGGAGGATGTTAAATAACCGCCTCTGATGTTTATACAGTGTTCTCTGATTGTGCCTATGGTACCCCTGCTCTTCCCTGGTTCTTTTCTGCATTTTCTTCCATATTGTTCACTCCAGTACATTGCTATTTTACTGTGCAGATTTGGGACCTGGCCCCCTCCAGTATTTTCCACGCATATATTAATTTATATCTCTCTCGTCTCCTTTCTAGTGAGTACATTTGGAGGGCTTTGAGACAATCCCAATAATTTAGGTGCTTTATCGCGTCTATGTATGCCATATATATATGTTCTCTGTATTGCTAGGACCTGGAGCAACAGCTGAACTGGGGGAAAGAGGTACAGGAACCCCCACCTCGACCAGTCCTGCCTGAAGGCGTCAACCCCGACAGCCATACAATCGGGGAAGGGCGCCACGTGTAATGGGAGACGCCTCAACCACGCCGACGTGAAGAGGTCCACCTCCAGGAGCCTGTATGTCTGGAAGAGTCAACTGAACGAGTCGGCATCGACCGTCCATTCCATGAACAGGGAAATGAACCTAGACAGGCACTCTGCCGGAACGTTGGACACCCCCCGAACGTGAACGTCCAGGAGAACCAAACCCCGAAAACTCGGCAGATGAGTCACCCGAAATGACCAGCCCCAAAGAGCCAACGACCACATCGAACCCCCTCGGTTCAGGCAATGAATCACCGGGACGCAGTTCGAATGGAGCCAGATCGCCGATCCGTGGGCAACCTCAACCCTACGAAGCTAATACCACACCGCTGGCTTGGTGAGCACTGGTCACAAAGCCCCAGCCCAGAGACGACGCATCTGTGAACACATCGAGCAAGGGCTCGGGTAGGCACCAATTCACTGAACCCCGAAAAACCCGAAGAGGAAGCAGATGATGCAGCAACTGACACAATGACCCCCACCCTCAAGACCGATCCCAGCGATCGCGAGAGCGGCAGAAGTGACGTCCCCGAAGGAACCAGAACAGCCGACGAAGCCAATCTACACCCGTCGGGTATACCATCACGTATACCAAGTTCAGGCTCCCGCACAAACCCTTGAGCAACTGCCGGGTGACCCGGGAGCCCCCAGAAACAGTCAAAGGTGGGACTGCAGCCGAAGCAGAGACTCCGGAGGGGGAGACTAGGAATCGGTCCAAGAGTCCCACACAAGACCCAGTCAAGTCTGAACCTGGGAGGGGACCAGATGGGACTTCCTCCAGTTCACCAGGAACCCAAAAATGGCAATCTGGGACAGAACCAAATCCTTGGCTAGCAGACAAATGGACTGGCTGAGAGCCCACACCAGCCAGTCGTCGAGGTAGGCCAGAACCCGAACCCCCTAAGAGACACAGACGGGCCACAACAAACCCAGGTAAGGTGTGTGAACATTAGAGGTGTCAGGTTCAAGCCGAAGGGAAGGCAACTAAAGCGGTAAGCCTGACGCCCCACAACAAAACCGAGCCACTCCCTGAATCCCGGATAAATCGGGATGTGCCAATACCCGTCCCGGAGGTCCAGGGACACCATCCAAGCGCCCGGCTCCAGAAAAAGAGAGACCTGGGAGAGAGTAGTCATCCGAAAGGAGGGGCAATAAACCCAAGGGTTCAGATGGGACAAGTCCAGAATGAACCGGAGGTTCACACAGCCCCGTTTCGGAATCGTAAACGGGCGGGAAACTCACCTAAGGGACGGGGTCATTTCGACCATGCCCAAGCGAACCCACTCCTAGATGACTCGACACAGCACCAGAGTAGATGCTTGCCCCTCCAGCTGCGAACCCCCTGAAGGAGGAGGGGCCACCCAACACCAATGGGGGCCGCTCGAAATGCTCCGAGAGGCCCACAAATTGTGGAACCGGGTGTGAGCAAACAGAGCAAAGCTCCCCCATCAATGGGATGAACCGCAAAAGGGCCCCTTACGTGAACCCGACCTTTGTACAAAGTGATCACCGCGCCGACCGTAGAAAGACATTTCCAAAGGCCACACTGATTCTGAAACTGGCCCCACTGGCCTACCACGACGGGAGGAATCTCGAGCCCTGGCACGACCCTTCTGTGAAGAACCCCCCACAGGCCTCCAGGAGAACCCACAAGTCTGACATTGGATGACAACTGGATGAAGCTGCCTGCAGATACTGCCCAACTGCAGAGTCTGCAAACGGCAGAGAACAAAAAGGCGATGAAAACCTAGGAGCCAGGGCCCAAGCAGATTCCATGGTCACAAGCTCTTCCTGCCGACACATGAGATGAGAAGCAAAAGATAGAGACACTGCATCCTACAGGATAGGCTTCAACAGGGCAGATGACACACGCACCGCCGAGACCAAGGCACCAGACCCAGGAACACCCCCAAGCGCTTCCACATCCTCCTCAAGCCAATCCGAGGACAGCTCTAGGAGAAAAAAAAACTGCAAGACCGAAGCCAACAGGCCATGAGCATGCACATTCTCAGCAATCGAAAGGGTGGGAACCTGAACGTGAAGCTGCAGGATGCCGACATCCCAAGGAAGGGCAGAGGCGAACAAGCATGCATTGAGGTGCTAAACCTCAACCCCCAGGTAAACCTGGACTACCATCAGAGCCTCACGCCACTCAAGCGTGCGGGACCAACACAACGCATGCCAAGCCTCCGACAAGAAAACAGGGCAGTCCGCAAGTCGGGACAACTCCAGAATCTCATAACGAACCCAGTAAGGAAACGAATATCCAAACCTGAAGGAAGACGGATCCATTAAAGAGGTATAATCCGGGTCGTGCAGGAGGTAAGCCGCAATGGCTTCCCGCACCTCGTGAGGCGGGAAGCTGAAAACCTCCAGAAGGACGGGACCGACCCGGAACAGAACCCGGGAAGGGGCTGACATCAAATGCAGCTAACTCTTACGTGAAGGGAGGGGAAGGAAAACCCCACCCCCTGCAACAGCAAACTCCGCTCAGAGGGTATAAAAACCCAAGCGGGGTCCAAGGCCCCAAAGTCAAAGTCAGCTGGGTTTCCTCCCCAGCCCCCAGAAACCTCCACAACCTCAACCCAAATTTGAAAGTTAGGAACAAAAATTCCATTAATTCTATCTTGTCAGCAATGTAATTAATGTAACACACACCTCCATGATGATTGATCTGCTTACCTGATGTGAACATAAGTAGAAGTCTCTCTCTAAAGGATGAGTAATATCTGTATCCACTGTAGTACCTGGAGGAATATTTTTGGATTTTCCTACCCCATCACGGTCTTGGCAGAATAATCTGTAAATAATATTATTTCATCACTGGTTGAACAGAGCACAAAGTTAAATACAGTACAATTAAAATTTACTCTATCACCATTACCATGTTTCCCCCTTTCATGGGCAAGGCAAGAAAAAACCTAGAGAAATAATGGAGAGTAAAGGAGTATAGGAAACAAAGTTAGATACATTTAACCTTAGACACCAGTTATCGTCATATGTTCAAATCAAATCAACTCAAAATCAATTCAAATGTTTATTCAGGTAAAAGTACATACATAGAGGATTAGTTACAAACATATTGTTGAATTTATAGATAGAGCTAGTACATACAATACCTAAAGCCACTAGTACGCATAGCATTTCGGGCAAGGTGAGGTGGGAAAAAAACCACTTAGACTAAAACTTAATAGTAATTGAGCTTAAAGTATAAATTGCTTTGAAAGAAAAAAAGAAAAAAAGAAAAAAAGGGGGGGAACATGATAGAAAATAGCCAAAAACATGTTGGTCAACAAACAGCATTGTTTAAAAATAGTAAGACATGGGTTGACATTTAGGGGTAAGGAAGGTTACAGGGAGTTAATTAGGTAGTACTTAATTTTCATCTTAAAAACTGGTTGAGAGAGGTACAGTCTTTGACATGATTGGGAAGTTCATTCCACATTCTGGGCCCCTTGATTTGTAGAGCATTTCTAGTTTGATTAAGTCGTACAAGTCAATTGATACTCTTGGAATATCAAATAGGTATTTGTTTCTGGTGTGGTGCCCATGGGTTCTGTTACAACCTTCTAAGAATCTTTTAAGGTCAGGATTGACATTACAATTCAGAGTTTTAAATATAGAGTACACATGAGAGGATGTGCAGTGACTTAATATCTAACATATTCCGAGATTTCAGTAAGGGTACCGAGTGCTGTCTGGGGCCAGAGTTAGATATTGTTCTAATAGAAGCTTCGTGTTGGGTAATTAGAGGACATAAATGATTTTGGGTAGTAGAACCCCAAGCACAAATACCATAGCTGAGATAAGGATAGATGAGAGAGTAATAGAGCATCACCAGGGCAGGGCGAGGTACATAATATCTGATCTTAGAAAGAATGCCAACAGTTTTAGACTTTTTTTTGCTATATTTAGAATATATTAGCTTATATTTAGCTTGTTATTGATGAGGACACCAAGAAAATTACCATCCACTTTACTACTGATTTGTATATTGTTTATTCTTAGATTAATTTCATTTGAGGATTTATTACCAAACAAAATATAGAAAGTTTGATCAATGTTAAGGGTGAGTTTGTTAGCAATTAGCCAAAGATGGACTTTATTTAGTTCAGTATACACATTGACATTTAGAGCAAGCGGGTCAGGACTGGAGAAAATGAAAGTTGTGTCATCAGCAAATAAGAATGGTTTGAGGTATTGAGAGGCATTTGGAAGGTCATTAATGTAAATGAGAAAGAGGAGAGGGCCAAGTATGCTGCCCTGTGGAACACCAATGTTTATGGGTAGTGTAGGAGAAATGGAATTATTCACAGAAACATACTGGAGCCTGTCAGTAAGGTAAGACTGAAGGTATTGTAGGGAGTGACCTCTGACTCCATAATGATGTAATTTAAGAAGAAGGTTTTGGTGGTTGACAGTGTCAAAAGTCTTACGTAGGTTCACAAATAACCCAACAGGGAACGGATTTTTATCAAGAGCTGTATGTATCAAGTTAATCATACTGATAAGTACTACACTACCCAGTGCATCGTTAGTGCTTTTATTGGGTCTGAAACCATATTGGCAAGAGCTAAGTATATTGAGTTTGGCTAGATATGAGTAAAGCTGCTTGTAGAGTAGCTTTTCAAATATTTTTGATAAGGTTGGCAGAATTGATATAGGTCTGTAACTGTTGACATCAGTGAGATCACCACATTTGTGGTCTGGGGTTACTCTCGCTTTTTTTTAGAATAAAATATACCATGCTGACCAGACGAAGGTGGTTCCGAAGGAGGCGCTGGCCCCGAAACTGGCCCCAGTGGCCTACCCCAACGAGCAGAACCCCGAGCCCTGGCATGACCACTCCAGGAAGACCCCCCCCCCCACCCCCACCCAGAGCCCCCGGAGAACCAACAAATCAGACGTGGGACGACAGCTAGCCGAAGCCGTTTGCAGATACTGGGTCACAGCAGAATCCGCAAACAGCAAGGAGCAGAAGGGCCCAGGCAGATTCCAGGGAGGAAGCAAGCACCGCCTGCCAACACACGAGCCAGGAAGCATAAAACAGTGACACTGCATTCCGCAGGATCGGCACAAACAGCTTCAACAAGGCAGACGACGAATGAGCCACCAAGCCCAAGGAACCGGACCCAGGAACGGCCCCAAGCGCCTCCACATCCTCCCCAAACCAGTCTGAAGACAGCTCCAAGAGAGAAAAGAGTGCAAAGCCTTAGCCAAGAGACCACGAGCGCGCAAGTCCTCGGCAACCTGCGCAGCCGAAAAAGAAGGAACCTGCACGTGGAGCTGCACAACACCAACATCCTGAGGAAGGGCAGGGGCAAACAAGCACTCACTGAGGTGCTCAAACTCGCCCCCCAGGAAAACCTGGACCACTGTCAACATCTCACGCCACTCCATCATGCGGGAACGACAGAAGGTATACCACACCTCCAAAGCAAACACATGACAGTCCGCCAGCCAGAACGACTCTGGAACCTCATAACGAATCCAGCAGGGAAACGAAGACCCAAACCTGAATGAAGACGGATCCATAATAGAGGCATAATCCGGGTCATGCAGGAGGTAAGCCAAAAAGGCCACATTAGGCTGGATGTGGGAAGCTAAAAACCTCCAGAAAGACAGGACCAAAGCACTCGAGGGAACACGGAACCGAACCCGGGGAGGGGCAGACACCAAATTAATGTCGTACGCAGAGGGAGGAAAAGAAAACCCCACTCCTTGTAACAGTAAGCCCCACTCAAGAGGGCAGAAAAACCCAGGTGGGGTCCAGTGGGGCCCAAGGCTCCGAGTCAGCCCCTCCCCAGCCCCGGGGTCCTTCACATCCGGACCCAGGACCGAGTCATCTCCCAAAAACCCAGTCTTTAAAGAAAAGGCCGGCGCAGCTGTAGAAGCCAGATGGAAAGGGGGCCCACTGGTTAGACCCAGAGGCTTCGGCAGGGAGAACCAACTCGAATGCCTCCATCGCCATGCCGGAATGAGCATCCCCAAGACTGTCTGAGTTTCAAGGCCATCCAGACCCTGCCCCTACTCCAAAACCCTCAGAAGTTTTGGGGACGGAAGCAGGGGGAGGGGGGGGGGGGGACCAGACCAAACCACTGCAGGGGAAGGACGAGGGGGCGCAGACAGAACCAAGACCAAAGCGACCATCACCCACAAGTCGAGGTCTCTATAAGCAAAACGGGGCAGCCTTGGGGCATCCAACGCAGCAATCAGCCTAGTGCATTGCAACAACCTAAACCTAACATGCAATGCCTGCGCTGCCTGTACCCGAATAACATCATCAGTAGATTGGGTAAACTGAGTCACCATCAAGCAACAAAACTCCCAGGACTCCGGGTCGAAAGTGTCACCGACCCGACAGGAAGCGAGACGGAGACAAAAACAGTGAGAGTCACCCCTGAGACTAGGGGACAGAACAACCCTCAAATGCGCACAAAGCGAGGACGGGGGGTGGACTCGGGTCACATGCATAGGACTCGCGTGCCTCCATGGGGTTTCCCAGGGTCCTGAGACGGAAATCACGCTCAGGGAAGCCCAGGCAGGGTACTGCTAACTGGCACCCAAGTCTACCAAACAACTTTATAATAGCTGAACCCACAGGATGTGTACACTCACAGGGACCTAACAGGGGGTAACACCCGAAGAGACAACAGTACTCAATACATGTATATAGGGGGGAATAACCAAGGCAGAACCCCCACCCCCACCGGACAAGGCAACAAAAAGAAAAAGAAAACCCCCGCAAGAGGATAGCGTACCCAGGCAGAACAGAGCCGGCTGCTATGAATGGTGAAAACAAGCTGCACAGTACCCTATGCCCCTTACCAGTGCAAACTGCCTCCTACCCTACAGCAAACACGGGAGACAACACACCCAAGCACACAAAGGGAGGCCGTAAACCGAGCAGTAAACAGCCAAGCAGTGGCAGAACCCAAGGAACTTGTGGAAGGTGGCCCCAAGCCCCAAGGGCAGTACTTACTGGGAACCAAGGGAAGGGAACCTTAGGCGCATACAGTCCGAGTACTGAAGAAAGACTCCTGGCTCGTGCACCCCAAGAAGACAGCCACCACACATTAGGCACAGAGCTGCAACAACGTCTGGAGCCAGAGCACATGACCTCTGCCTATAACATCATGTGGCCACACAGATTCGGCAGACGACGCTACAGCCCTCCAACCCTCAACATTACTCCCCCCACAGCACAGCCCAATTTATCACAACAATCCTGCTGTTATCAGAATCCTGGTCATTTTTATCAGTTAGGGGTCTTCTGTAATACTATCATCGCTAAATAATACCAGTTACATATATTTTTGACATTATTAGGCAATGCTGTGGTCACAAGCTGAACAGCAGTGCTGTGAGCTTATGCTGTGTGCACCAGCCTTGGTGGCTCACTCAGTACTGAGGCCCTCACACCCGGGAATGTTGCCCACAATTTTTTTTGTAAATGGCGTCTGTTTACAAGAGCCCTGAGGAAGGTGATGCGAATCCCGTGTATCCGCGGGCTGTTTAAATTTTGCATAGTACTCCAAAACATCATATGACATGTGCACTTTTATGTATGTTAAAAGTGCACAACACATCATATGACGTGTTGTGCAGTTTAAAGGGTTAATACCTGCAACCATCTTTATTTTTGCTATCATGAGCTTTCACACTTTCTTCCCAAAACACTAGTTCTGCTTTGTTTCTTAAACTTTTTTTTTGGTTTGTTTGTTTGCCAGATATTCAATCACTATTATGCAATTTTTCTCCATGATATTACTTGTTTATTCCTTCCAAATTTAAAAAAACACTAGAGCTCCCTACCCCTCAACCCTCCCACAATAACCAAAACTGCAAAGTAAACTGAATATTAACTTTTTCTCACTTTTTCAATATTTGGGAAGATAAACAATTTATTTACAAATGTAACAGCAATATTCAGCATTATGTCCATGAAGTGTGCAGATACAACATTGAGATACATGTTTATGTACGAGACAAGCATTAGTCTCGGCCCCTTACCTTGTATGATGTCTCTTTTGGACAACAACAAATGTCATGGCTGGAGTGTAGTCTTTTTGCAGTTCAGTGCATGCATCACGCATAGCTTGCAGTTCATAAGACAACACCTCTGGAAACTGGGACTCGCTCACACCATCACGATACATAACAATCCTGTCTGGTTTGTAGCGTGTAGTCTGGTAAAATGTTCTTAGAAGATTCCTGAAAACAAAACTTTTTTAAATATTTATATGCTTGCAAATAACCCTCTGACTGCTCAAGTGATTTTACCCTAATGCGCATAAAATAAAATAAAAATTTCCCTTCTAAAATTGTTAAAATGCATTCCCTGATCACAGGAAATATAATAAAATAATTGTATACGACTTACTCTGGCCGTGGTAAAGACTTTAATCTCGCTATGATGTCACAATTCACGTGTGCTCATTGAGCAATCGCCCCGTGGTAGTCGCCTCAAGCCTTAGGCGAAAGTTGCCGCAAATATATTTTTTATATAATTATTTCAACATTTGATAGATTTTTTCTCCGTTTTTTTGCAGTAATGTTATTCAATAGTGTGTCTTGAGAAACTTACGGAATATAATGTGTGAAACAATGGAATACTGAAATATATTCATGTCACAAAGATGCGTCTATTATTTACTTAAAACAATGCAACTATGCAGATCCAATACAACCTTCTATTTTTGGTGTTAATATACTGTGTACACATTTTTTATATAACTATGCATATTTACTTGCACGATTATGAACTACCAAGCAGTTCTGGTAAGTGTGGTAATGAAATAGTTCAGCATAGTTACCCCACACACTAGCAGCAGAGGACGTAAAATGCGATATAATATCCCTTAAACCTCGCAAAACATACATGCACGTAGGGAGTAACTTGTCCATGCCCTTTTACTCTGCTGCTTAACTAGCCTACATCTCTGATTAAACCATGGGTTTCTCATCTTCATTTCATTGGTTTCCTTTTGGACTGGAACAAACTTGTTCGCTGCTTCCTTGCACTTGTCACGGAATCGCACACATCGTACATATACGATTGAGGGTCTAGCGCATGATTTTACACGCCCCGTGAGGGACAGGGGCAGCTATAGTCCAGAAACGACAAGTAGTAAACAGATGCTGATATGACCACACATACACCAGTATGATCATACTGTGTCTGGTGTATGATGCGATCATACTGTTTAGTGATATCCAGGTCGATTAGCCTAGCATCACAGATTTTACTTTATATATATATAATCTATTCCTGACAATGCTCTAGTATATATTATGTATTGCCATTATATGTTTGATATACCTTATACATATTATATATCATTGCCAAATGTATATGCCATGTATTTGTGAAGATATTTTAAGTAAATAGCAGAAGCCTAATGTGATGTATCTGAAAAATATCATTATATGTCTATACTGTAGTATGGAATGCTATGTATTGATGTATAGGACAAGCTATGTGTATTATAATGTAGAATGTATACATTTATATACCTGATGTATGACTAGCAAGTATACTGTGATACAGGCATACCTCAGTTTAAGAGTTTAATTGGTTCTTGGAGACGCCTCGTATTCCGAAAACTCGCATTCCGAAGCTAATTTCCCCATAAGAAATAAAGGGAAATGAATTAATCCGTTCCTTACTACCCCAAAAACCCCACATCAAACTAAATTTTTATACCTAATTTATCTAAATAAACCTACAAAACTATGTTCAAGTTATTACTTACCTTGCTGTTGAATGCTGTAGGCGTATGGAAGATGGTGAGGAGGTGGGAGGAAGAGAGGAGTTACTGTTTGGAAGGGGAGTCCCCTTCCATTATCACATCAGGCAGTGAGGACTTCACTGGTATGCACACTCTGGCACATTTTGCCTGCATACCACTAGGACTTGCTTGTTTTACTAAGAATTTGTCTAATGACACTTGTTTTTCCCTACATTTTAACACTTGTCTGTAGTAAGACATCACATTATCATTTAAAAGGTCAATGCAACGGCCTGCTACAGCTTTATCTGGGTGAGTTTTTTCAACAAAACTTTGCAGTTCTTCCCATACTTCACACATTTTCTTAATCAAGAAGGGACATCCTCTACTGCCTCTACTCACAGCTATTTTCTTAGGTTGAACCTTACCAATGGCTTTCTTGAGACCCATGGCAAGATATATAATGACAACTTTTATGCTCAAATGGCAAAAAAAACGATAAAAAACTGTAAATCCTTGTGAAGAATTCAGGTGGGATAGTCACTGGACACGAGACACTGGTAAACTGAGGCGCGATCGCCATGCCACCACGTGCCAGTCGGCCTGTACACGTATCAACAAACTCGCGTCCCGAGGTAACCCTCGCCTTCCGAGACATATTTTTGGAGTAAATCCTGCTCGTCTTCCGAAAAACTCGCATACAGGGACACTTGCATTCCGAGGTACCACTGTATATAATTTTCATTGATGTTCTGTGCATTAACCTCTTGACATATTGTACTTAGTAACCGATATTCTGGTATTGTAAAATGTATACCACAAAGGCAAAGTTTTGGCAGTTATGTTGATATATGATGCTTTACTTTTATTCATGTATATTTATGTATTAACGGCTGACCGGTAACATCTTGAAATTCTCCTTTAACCCCCCCCCCCCCCCCCCGGTGTACTGTCTCCAACCAGTATTACTATGTCCTGTAGACATGAATTCTTTGATTTTTTTATATATCATGATATATTTTCTTGTACATTGATATGATTCTCCTGGAAGGTTGTACATTAAGATACGCAATTAGGTATTGTATGATTTAGAAGTTATTGACTGGTAAATGTCTGGATTTAAGCTTGTGATATTTGGAGGAGGAGCATCGGTTGACTTGCCAAGTTGGAAAATGTCTCTCTCGGCCTGCCGGCCCTTGGCGCGTCACTATCTCCTTAATTTCTCAGACGGGCGGACAAATCAGGTCCGGCTCTTGATTTTATTGGCATTTTGTGTGTTTATTGACTACTAGTATACACTGTATATAATTATGCTCTTGTACCTGTATGGAATCAAACTACCGATGTACATCATTTATGCCAGGTGGTAGGTGATTTCATATATACTATTTGAGGTTGGTACCTGACGACCTTAACTGATTGCTATTATGCTTTGATATGATATTGATTCCTCACCCACTAATTATTAATGTGTGACACCACCATCCTGTACTTGGGTGATGTAAGCATGCTAGGGGTTAGTTTACCACTGCTTCAGGATAAAGCCTGGTGACAGCTAGTCCCGAGGGTGTGCAGTTTAATGCCTGTTGATGATTTCAAAGAGCTTTGAGAAGGCTGGATTATTGTGATAGAGTATCAGTTGTAGAGAACTTTAGTTTCTTATTGTTTTACGGTGACCTGTTTATATACCCCAGTAAACTGGAGTAATTTTGTTAGCCTTTTACTTAACCCTAGACAAGTATTGATTTTTGGCCAGGCTATGGATTCCAGTGATACTAAGGAGCACGAGGTCATTACAGATGCCATCTTTGAAACAATCGTGTGTAACATTCCCGGGTGTGAGATCCTCAGTACAGAGTGAGCAACCAAGGCTGGTGCAAGCACCATGAGCTAACAGCACTACTGTTCAGCTTGTGAACACAGCTAAAAATGTCAAAATATATATGTACAGATGTTGGAATGAGGGAGGGCCTGTCTGGGTGTGGCTGCTCACACTCGCGATGTTCTAAATGTGTTGATGGTGAATATATATCGTGTGTGACAGTGTACAGTCTGTAAATAGATTGTATATATACATAAATTAGCATGATACATGGTACAGTAAATATATACAACATATATGTACACAAGTGTCATGCACGTAACACAGTGTCCTCGGACAGTACAGATGTTTTACTGCCATAATATAGTGTATGTATTCATTATACATAGGATTAGCACATAAAAACAAATAAGATGTATTTGGAACTGTGCACAAAAAATGAACAAAAATATTCGCGGCAACTCGCACCCCCCCCCCCTTGGGGGCCCTACTGGGCCTGGGAGCGTACGTCACGGGCGAACGGGAAATGATGGCATCACGCACCAACTTGCAGACCCCATAGCAGCCAAAGTAAGTACAATTTCAAATTTTTTTTGACATACCCATACTGAGGGAAGGGTTTTTGACACATTTTATAAAAACAAAAGAATTTTTTCAAGAAAATTTATTTCCTGCACACTGGGGGGTGTCATATTTGGAGGCGGCACAGTTAAAGGGTTAAGCAAGACATACTCCTTTGTTGAGTAAAAATGATAAAGCACCATACAGTGAAAAAGTATTTTATGATTTTGTGATAACTATTTTTCATGTGTTCTATTTTAATTTAATTTAATTTAATTTAACAAAAATTTAAGAAAAATCTCAACAAAAAAAACCACTTTTAAACACTTACTTTGTCATTTCTTTGAGGTCCAATATCATCTCTTTACGATGTTTTTGGTGCCGTACTTCTACAGCGTACTTAGAAGCAAATTTATCTATGGAGGCCACAACTGCTGCTAATGAAGGAGTTACTTTATCAGATGCTTGTGGATGGTTGACATCTGCACCCATGATCATTACTGGAGTTTTAAAGACCTGGGGGGGAAAAATAGGTTACTAATAAACAAAAACTGGCGTTGAATGAAATGAAATGTCCTTTTCTGGGCAATCCCTGCTGGCTCTCTGAAGTTATGTTGCCAATATAGTTTCCCAGTACTTAGTTCCATCACTCTTAGGATTCTTATTGACCTATTGAAGACCAGAGCTAGAACCTGGCCCACTCGAAGAGGCACAGTGAACAGGGCATTGTTATGATCACCCTCACCAAGAAAGCCCCAGAAAACAGATGACAAAAAATAGCGGGGGGGGGGTGTGTGTGTGTGTGTGTGTGTGTGTGTGTGTGTGTGTGTGTGTGTGTGTGTGTGTGTGTGTGTGTGTGTGTGTGTGTGTGTGTGTGTGTGTGTGTGTGTGTGTGTAATTACCTAAGTGTAGTTACAGGATGAGAGCTATGCTCGTGGTGTCCCGTCTTCCCAGCACTCTTTGTACTACTGACGGTCTTGGCCTCCACCACCTTCTCACTTAACTTGTTCCAACCGTCTACCACTCTATTTGCGAAGGTGAATTTTCTTATATTTCTTCGGCATCTGTGTTTAGCTATTTTAAATCTATGACCTCTTGTTCTTGAAGTTCCAGGTCTCAGGAAGTCTTCCCTGTCGATTTTATCAATTCCTGTTACTATTTTGTACGTAGTGATCATATCACCTCTTTTTCTTCTGTCTTCTAGTTTTGGCATATTTAGTGCTTCTAACCTCTCCTCGTAGCTCTTGCCCTTCAGTTCTGGGAGCCACTTAGTAGCATGTCTTTGCAACTTTTCCAGTTTGTTGATGTGCTTCTTAAGATATGGGCACCACACAACAGCTGCATATTCTAGCTTTGGCCTAACAAAAGTCATGAACAATTTCTTTAGTATATCGCCATCCATGTATTTAAATGCAATTCTGAAGTTAGAAAGCATCGCATAGGCTCCTTGCACAATATTCTTTATGTGGTCCTCAGGTGATAGTTTTCTATCTAGAACCACCCCTAGATCTCTTTCTTTATCAGAATTCTTTAAAGATTTCTCACATAATATATAGGTTGTATGGGGTCTATGTTCTCCTATTCCACATTCTGTATGTAATTCTGTATACCAACTAGTAGATCATTTATGTACACAATAAACATCACTGGTGCAAGAACTGAACCCTGTGGTACTCCACTTGTGACATTTCTCCATTCCGATACATTGCCTCTGATTACTGCCCTCATTTTTCTATCAGTCAGAAAATTTTTCATCCATGATAGAAGCTTACCTGTCACCTCTCCAATATTTTCCAGTTTCCAGAACAACCTCTTGTGTGGAACTCTGTCGAAAGCCTTTTTTAGGTCCAGATAGATGCAGTCAACCCAACCATCTCTTTCCTGTAATATCTCTGTGGCTCGATCATAGAAACTGAGTAAATTCGATACACAGGATCTTCCAGATCGAAAACCATACTGTCTGTCTGATATTATATCATTTCTCTCCAGGTGTTCTACCCATTTAGTTTTGATTAGCTTTTCTAATACTTTCACTATTACACTTGTCAATGATACAGGTCTATAATTGAGGGGGTCTTCCCTGCTGCCACTTTTGTAGATTGGAACTATGTTAGCCTGTTTCCACACGTCTGCTACGATTCCTGTACACAGGGATGCCTGAAAGACCAGGTGAAGTGGAATGCTGAGCTCAGATGCACATTCTCTCAGAACCCATGGTGAAACGCCATCTGGGCCAGCTGCTTTGTTCGTCCCGAGCTCCTTTAGCATATTTTCCACTTCATCTCTAGACACCTCTATCTGCTCTATGTCGTTCTCTGGAATTCTTATTGTGTCTGGTTCTCTGAAGATTTCATTTTGTACAAACACACTTTGGAACTTTTCATTTAATGTTTCACACATTTCCTTTTCATTTTCCGTGAATCTGTTTCCCATTTTCAACCTCTGGATATTATCCTTTACCTGCAATTTGTTGTTTATGAATTTGTAGAATAGGCCCGGTTCTGTTTTACATTTATCTGCTATCCCTTTTTCAAAATTTCTTTCTGCTTCTCTCCTTACTGCTGTATAGTTGTTTCTCGCATCTTTGTATCGCTGGTATGTTTGGGGGTTTGGCCTCTTCCTATACTGATTCCATTTTTGTGTCTTTTGGTCTCTTGCCCACTCACAATTTCTGTCGAACCAATCCTGTTTTCTGGCCCTGCATCTCTGTTTTAGTATGAATGTTTGTGTGCCTTCCTCGTATAGTTTTAAAAATTTGGCATACATTTCATTTACTTCCCTGCCTAGCAACAATTCTGTCCAATTACACTCATTAAAAAAATTTCGAAGTTCCCCATAGTTGCCTCTCCTTAAATCGAGTTTATCAACTGTTTCAATGTCCCCATTTTCTTCTAGATGATATCTTAAAGCATATTTAATGTCTAACAAGACGTGATCACTCTTTCCCAAGGGAGGAAGGTACTGGATGTCAAAAACCTCTTCTTCTTTCCTGGTGAATACTAGATCCAGTACTGACGGTACATCTCCTTCCCTCATTCTTGTGGCTTGCTTTATGTGTTGATTCAAGAATGTCTCCAGAATGAGGTTCACAAATCTGCATGTCCAAAAGTCCTCCGTTCTTGCTTCATAGGCCTCCCAGTCTATTGCTCTAAAGTTGAAGTCCCCAAGTATCAACAGTCGTGATTTATCTTTATCTGCTTGTACAATAATATCTCTCATGACCATTATGAGGCGTTATGTGTGTGTGTGTGTGTGTGTGTGTGTGTGTGTGTGTGTGTGTGTGTGTGTGTGTGTAATTACCTAAGTGTAGTTACAGGATGAGAGCTATGCTCGTGGTGTCCCGTCTTCCCAGCACTCTTTGTCATATAACACTTTGAAACTACTGACGGTCTTGGCCTCCACCACCTTCTCACTTAACTTGTTCCAACCGTCTACCACTCTATTTGCGAAGGTGAATTTTCTTATATTTCTTCGGCATCTGTGTTTAGCTAGTTTAAATCTATGACCTCTTGTTCTTGAAGTGCCAGGTCTCAGGAAATCTTCCCTGTCGATTTTATCAATTCCTGTTACTATTTTGTATGTAGTGATCATATCACCTCTTTTTCTTCTGTCTTCTAGTTTTGGCATGTTTAATGCTTCCAACCTCTCCTAGTAGCTCTTGCCCTTCAGTTCTGGGAGTCACTTAGTGGCATGTCTTAGTGGAGGGGAAAGAGAGAGGCAGCGATGTGGGGGGGGAGAGGAAGCGGTGGGGGGGGGGAGAGGAAGCGGTGGGGGGGGGGAGAGGAAGCGGTGGGGGGGGGGAGGAGGAAGCGGTGGGGGGGGGGGAGAGGAAGCGGTGGGGGGGGGGAGAGGAAGCGGTGGGGGATGAAGGCAGCAGTGTGTATGCATGGGGGAAGAGGAAGTGGTGTGTTCATTTGGGAAGAGGCAGTGGTGTGTGCGTGGGGGAAAAGGCAGTGGTGTGTGCGTGGGGGAAAAGGCAGTGGTGTGTGCGTGGGGGGGGGGAGAGGCAGTACTGTGTGCGTGGTGGGGAGAGGCAGAGGTGTGTGCATGGGGGGAAGAGGCAGCGGTGTGTAATCACCTAAGTGTAATCACCTAAGTGTAGTTACAGGATGAGAGCTACGCTCGTGGTGTCCCGTCTTCCCAGCACTCTTTGTCATATAACGCTTTGAAACCACTGACGGTCTTGGCCTCCACCACCCTCTCACCTAACTTGTTCCAACCGTCTACCACTCTATTTGCGAAGGTGAATTTTCTTATATTTCTTCGGCATCTGTGTTTAGCTAGTTTAAATCTATGACCTCTTGTTCTTGAAGTTCCAGGTCTCAGGAAGTCTTCCCTGTCGATTTTGTCAATTCCTGTTACTATTTTGTATGTAGTGATCATATCACCTCTTTTTCTTCTGTCTTCTAGTTTTGGCATATTTAATGCTTCTAACCTCTCCTCGTAGCTCTTGCCCTTCAGTTCTGGGAGCCACTTAGTAGCATGTCTTTGCACCTTTTCCAGTTTGTTGATGTGCTTCTTAAGATATGGGCACCACACAACAGCTGCATATTCTAGCTTTGGCCTAACAAAAGTCATGAACAATTTCTTTAGTATATCGCCATCCATGTATTTAAATGCAATTCTGAAGTTAGAAAGCATAGCATAGGCTCCTTGCACAATATTCTTTATGTGGTCCTCAGGTGATAGTTTTCTATCTAGTGTGCGTGGGGGAAGAGGCAACGGTGTGTGCGTGGGGGAGGGGAGAGGCAGCGGTGTGTGTGTGGGGGAGGGGAGAGGCAGCGGTGTGTGTGTGGGGGAAAAGGCAGTGGTGTGTGCGTGGGGGGGGGGGGGGGGAGAGGCAGTACTGTGTGCGTGGTGGGGAGAGGCAGAGGTGTGTGCATGGGGGGAAGAGGCAGCGGTGTGTGCGTGGGGGAAGAGGCAACGGTGTGTGCGTGGGGGAGGGGAGAGGCAGCGGTGTGTGTGTGGGGGAGGGGAGAGGCAGCAGTGTGTGTGTGGGGGAGGGGAGAGGCAGCGGTGTGTGTGGGGGAGGGGAGAGGCAGCAGTGTGTGTGGGGGAGGGGAGAGGCAGCGGTGTGTGTAGGGGTGGGGAAAGGCAGCAGTGTGTGGGGGAGGGGAGAGGCAGCAGTGTGTGCGTGGGGGAGAGGCAGTGGTGTATGTGAGGAGAGGCAGTGGTGTAGAGGAATATGTACCACTCAACCACCATTACATTATCTGCCTCACACAATGCAAAGGTTGGGTATTGTATTTATTATATCAGTACATGTACCAAGTAAACCAATCCAAGCATCAATCATATAATGCAAAAATTCGTGAAATTAGTAATGCAATGAAATAATGCTCGTTTTGGTGGAGGAAGGGTGGAATGTGTAGCTTGCTTGTAGGGCTGCATTAACCTAATTGTACTTTGGCACCGTCTTTGTACAATCAATTCAGTTTCTTCTATATACAGTAGTGACCAAAATTTATAATTACCTAATAAAAGGCATACAAGCATGCATTAATTCAGACAAGAGAAGATGTCCTGTATACATAAATAAACACTGTTCATAATTTTCATTAATAGTACTGTAATTAAAATAACTTACAAAAGGACGAGATGTTGTCCCAAGTACGTTGTTCGTTCCTCCCATCTTAGCATTGATCTTGAGCAAGATGTTTCCAACAGTGGCCGGTTGGTTCTTCGTAACGTTACCTTCTTTAACACACTGGGTAACAATCTTTACAATTTGATCACCAGCCTTTTTCACCTTACCTGAGATGAAAATGATGAAAATTAAATTACATACTGTATTTTAAAATAACAAAGCCATTAACAATGACATTTATGATTTAGGTCCACATAGCCATCACAACTCGGCTGACACGTGAACACAACCCATGGCGCCAATTTATTTTCTAATTGATACAGCATGTTAGTTCGATTTATTTGTATCTGAAGTTGGAGCGCAAGTTGATGAACTACTTTACCTACATCAGAGTGCATGGGGGTTATATATAAAACTTGGACTGGCTTCAGTAGAAGCCTCCTCATTTCCTGTGGATTCAGTGGAATACCACATCGCATGACTTTTACCATGTAGTCGTACAGTGGTAAGGTGCGCAGCTGGGAGGACACTGATCATTGGTTCAAGTCACCTCATTGCTCAAATTGACTATTACAGCCAATGTAAGTCAATTTTTTATTTTCCCATTGTCAGGGAATGCATTTTAATAACATTATAGGGAAAATATATATGTGCACCAGGATGTTGTCTCAAATAGTCACAATCTAAGGGTTAATGCCAAATAAAGTAAAAACAGTCATATACAAAAGGCATTTAGATTGAACTAAATAACCAGCGTTGAATGTAATGAAACGCCATTTTCTGGGCAAGTCCCGGAGGCTCCCCGGAGCTATCCAGGCTGAATGGATATGTATAACTTTCTGGCATCAGTCAAGGCATGAAATTCTTGCCGACCAGGGACCACGAGCCAGAACCTGGCCTCCCCTCTAGAGAGGCATGAGGAGCATAGCCCTATAGACACACCCCTTATTGTTGGGAGCATTCTATGTCAGTCATCGACCGGGACAGGCACCCAGAAAGGTAGGCGTCGCAAAACAAACCCCTATTCTGGTAAAACTATTGCGACTGAAGACCGAACAAGTGGATAGAACTCCCCAAATGAAAAGTAGCCAACGAACATGATTTCATCACGTTGCCGCACCGCTGTCTGCGCAACCCCCCCTCCCCAGGAGGGGGAAGGGGCAGCCCCAGACCCAACCGCTGGTGACCCAACCTACAGTTCTTGCCTGGATGTAAAATACATGAAAAACAACGCCAACAGGAGGAAGGGAAACTGGGGAGCCTCCGAGACTCCCCCAGAAAATGGTGTTTCATTACAATCAATGCTGGTTTTCTGGGGGGAGCCCCATTGGCTCCCCCGGAGCTAACTACCCAAAGATAAGGGAAAAAACAGGGACTTACCCGGGAGGCAGTCCGTCTTCACTCCTCAATACGAAGTCGAGACAACTGGCTGCAACCGCTGACCCAATGCAATGCAGGCCCGCCTAGGCTCAGGAACATTCAACAGGTAGCGAGTGGCCAGGACCTTGTTCTACCTCCAAAAACCCCTGGCCCGAATGTCCACCAAAGACATGTTGCCAAAGGCAGCAGCCAAGCCAGCAAACTTACGAACGTCGTGGGCCCGGGGATAGACCGCAGGCTGGCCAGATTTAATAACCTTGCAGACAACCTAAGAGACCCGAGCCCAGGAACAGGGAAGAAGGGAAACCTGGTCAACCTAGAGCGCATCCCTGGCAACTGAAGCTGTGGCGCGTAAATAACGGCGGAGAGCTGCAACCGGACACAACACATGATGCACCCCCAGCCTGACCAACCAAGCATCAAACAACCAAAGGCCCCCTCCGGAAGGCAGCAGTCTCATTCTTCGCCGGAAAAGATTGAGACAGCTGCAAGCGAACAAAACGACCACCTAGACCGAAGGCGCAGAAACCCATGCTCCGGAGGAGAGCATGAAGCTCCCCAACCCGACCCCGAGAGGCCAGTGCCAAAAGGAAAAGCACCTTAGAAAAACAATCCCGAACGGAAGGGCCACAACAAACCGAGGAGAAGAGAGAAACGAGAGCACGCGGTCCAAGGACCAGGATGGCTCAGGCGGCGCATGAGCAGGCCTTAGGTGAAACAATGCACAAGACAGCTTGCGAAACGGGGCAGAAGTAACATCAACACCAAAAGCAAGCTGAAGCGGCTCCACCAACGCCGCACGATACCAGGCGACAGAATTAGACATAAGATGACAGTCCTGAAACAACCAAGAGAGAAAGGACAGAACAACCCTATCAGAGACCGAAGAATACCTACGCAGTGATAAGAAAAACCAGAAGGACCACCAGGAAACTTCATACTGCCGCTGAGACGAAGCACGCAGGTGGGAGACCAACAACGAAGCCACCTGCGCACCATACAAGTGACGATAAACCAGAGTCAAAAACACCAGACGTGAAGATTCGAGAAGACTGAACCAGCCTCGTATCGTGCTGGATCGATCTGCTGAAAGAGGCAGAGCCGCGGGAAGACCCTCGGCTTCGGACACCGAGCAAGCAGTGCCTGAAACCAAGGCTTGGCCAGCCACCAAAGAACCAGAAGGACAACCCAACCCTGGTGGGTTGGGTTGTCTCAAGTTCCAAGCGAGCCAGAACCTGGAGCAACAGCTGAACCTGGGAAAAGAGGTAGAGGTAACCCCACCTCGCCCAGTCCTGCCAGAAGGCAGCGACCCCGACAGCTTCGCAGTCGGGGAAGGGTGCCACGTATACTGGGAGACGCCTCAACCATGCCGACGCGAAGAGATCCACGTCCAGAATCCCGAACATCTGGCACAGTTAACTGAAGTAGTTTGCGTCGCCCGTCCATTCCGTGGAAAGGGGAAGGAAATGAGTCAGGCTGTTCACCAGGATGTTGGACAACCCCCAGACATGAAATGCTAGGAGAGCTAAACTCCAAGAACTCAGCAGACGAGTCACCCGAAGCGACCAACCCCAAAGAGCCAAGGACCACATCGAACCCCCTCGGTTCAGACAATGAACCACCGGGGAGCAGTCCGAATGGAGCCGGATCTTCGATCCACAAGCGACTCGAACCCTCCGGAGCGACATCCACACCACCTCAAACTGCCGGACCGTGCTGTGAGCCCGATGGAAGGACGGACCCCACCGCCCCTGGCCGGCCTGGTGAGCACTGGTCACAAAACCCTAGCCAAGAGACGACGCGTCCGTGTACACATCGAGCGAGGGCTCGGGTAGGCACCAAGGTACTGAACCCCGAAAAACCCAAAGAGGAAGCCGGCGATGCAGCAACTGACGCAAAGCCCCCAGAGGCCGAACCCAACGATCGTGGGAGAGGCGGAAGGGCCGTCCCCGAAGGAACCAGAACAGCCGACGAAGCCACACCCGACCTGGCGGGTAGACCATCATGGCAAAGTTCAGGCTCCCACACAAACTCTTGAGCAACCGCCGCGTGACCAGGGAACCCCTCAGAAACGGGTGAAGGCGGGATCGCAGGCAAAACAGAGCTGCCGGAGGCAGAGACAAGGAAGCGGTGTGAATGTCCCAAAGCAGACCCAGCCAAGACCGAACCTGGGGAGGGAACTAGATGGGACTTCCTCCAGTTCACCAAGAACCAGAACCCGGCGAGCTGGGAAAAAAACAAATCCCTGGCGAGCAGACACACAGACTGGCTGGGAGTCCAAACCAGCCAGTCGTCGAGACAGGCCAGAACCCGAACACCTAACAGATGCAGGCGGGCCACCACGACCCGAGTAAGGTGTGTGAAAACACGAGGTGCCAGATTCAACCCGAAAGGAAGACAACGAAAGGGGTAACCTTGACGCTCCACAACAAAACTGAGCCAGTCCCTGAACCCCAGATGAACCGAGACGTGCCAATACGCGTCCTTGAGGTCCAGGGACACCATCCAAGCACCCGGTTCCAAGAGAAGATGGACCTGAGACAGAGTAGTCATCCTGAAGGAGGGGCAAGAAAACCATGGATCAAGACGGGACAAGTCAAGAATGAACCGGAGGGCTGTGCAGTCCCGTTTCAGGACCGGAAACAGGCGGGAAACCCACCTTAGGGACGTCGTAAATTTCGCCCAAGCCCAAGCGCCCATTAAAATGCCCAAGCGAACCCACTCCAAGATGACCAAACAGAGCACAGGGGAAAAAGCCAGCCCCGTCAGCCCCGAACCCCCGCCCCCAAGGGAAGAGGAGCCACCCAATGCTACCACAGGCTGCACAAAATGACCCGTAAAGCCCACGAATTGTGGGGCCAGGCACGAGCAAACCGGGAGAGCTGCCCCCCCCATCGCCACATCAATGGGACGAACTGCGAAAAGGCCGATGCGCCTTGCGAGAACCCAAGCGGTAAACAGGGCAATCCCCGCGCCGACCAGCAACAACCGGAACCGAAGGCTGCGCCAGCCCTGAATTTGGCCCCAAAGGCCTACCCCAATGAAAAGAACCCCGAGCCCTGGCACGACATTTCTGGGAAGGCCCTCGCAATCTACCAACAAACTTCTATTGCTGAACCCCCGGGACGTGTACACTCACGGGGGCCAAGGCGGGGTGGACCACCAAAAACAAGGTAGATGATCAGATACAATAACCCCCAATAACAGAGAAGGGGGGACACAAGGGCAGACCCCCCCCCCCCCCACCAGGCGGAAAACAAAAACAAAAGAAAACCCCCGCAAGAGGACAACGTACCCAGGCGGAACAGAGCCGGCCGCTGTTATTGGTGAAAACTAGCTGTGCAGTACCCTTCCCCTGCCAGTGATGAAAACTACCCCTACCCAGAGACAAACAAAGCAAGAAAAAACCCAGCTGACCCGGAGCGCAGGCGGGAGAGGTACATAATAATTTACACGTGGAAAATATTAGAGGGGCTGGTCCCAAACCTGCACACAGAAATAACATCACATGAGACCAGAAGACATGGCAGGATGTGCAGAATACCCCCGTTGAAAAACAGAGGTGCAACTGGTACTCTGAGAGAGAACTCTATCAACATCAGAGGTCCGAGACTGTTCAACACGCTTCCACTACACATAAGGGGCATAACTGGCCGACCCCTCACAGTGTTCAAGAGAGAACTGGATAAGCACCTTCAAAGGATACCTGATCAACCAGGCTGTGACTCATACGTCAGGCTGCGAGCAGCCGCGTCCAACAGCCTGGTTGATCAGTCCGGCAACCAGGAGGCCTGGTCGACGACCGGACCGCAGGGACGCTAAGCCCCGGAAGCACCTCAAGGTAACCTCAAGGTAACCCCAAGGGTGGCCAAATACCAAGCAGTAAATGGCACAGCGGAGGTAGATCCCGAGGTGACTTGTGGAAGGTGGCCCCAAGCCCCGAGGACATTACTTACAGGACACCTAGGGAAGGAGACCCTAGGCGCATGCAGCCCGAGTACCGTAGAGTATCACTCCTGGCCCACGCACCACCGGAAGGGACAGCTCACACCACAAGGCTCAGAATTGTAACAAAACACTGGAACCAGAGACACAACTGCACCAGACTCCCATCAGCCTAAGAACTGTAGGTTGGGTTGCCGGTGGTTGGGTCTGGGGCTGCCCCTTCCCCCTCCTGGGGAGGAGGGAGGTTGCACAGACAGTGACGCGGTAACGTGATGATGTCATGCTCGTTTGCTAGTTTTCGTTTGGGGAGTTCTGTCCACTTGAGCAGTCTTCAGTCGCAATAGTTTACCAGAATAGGGGTTTGTTTTGGGGCACCTACCTTTCTGGGTGCCTATCCCGGTCGATGGCAGACATAGAATGCTCCCAACAATAAGAGGGGTCTCTATCGGCCATTGCTCCTCGTGCCTCTCTAGCGGAGGCCAGGTTCTGGCTCGTGGTCCCCGGTAGGCAAGAACTCCATGCACTGACTGATGCCAGAAAGTTATACATATCTATTCAGCGTGGATAGCTCTGAGGAGCCAATAGGGCTCCCCCCAGAAAAAGACAATTATACCCTAATAATTGGAGTTATATGTAGGCCATTAAGTACATTATTAATGCCAAGATATTTTCTGAGGGCTCTTTTTCTTTGCCTTTTGAGATCTGAAAGTTAAGACAAAATATATCCAATTAGTTTACTATTCATGAAGGTTTTGAGGTGTCACGGGTAAGACCAAGTTTTTAAGGACAAGGACAAGGGTGTCACCAAGGTGAGACCAAGAAAAAGATATCAGTTTTGAAGTGAATCCCAACAGTAACTATACTGCATCTGAATGATACCTTATTACACCTCTCACCCTCCCAGCCTCTACCCTAATCCATTACAATCTATACAACTTTTCGATCAAATACACTTACTGTAAAGTTCTTTGGAATTTGGTATTACAACCAATATCATCTGTATCTTGGGATGTTTTTTCTTGAGGTATAAAAAATCTTTCTCTGTATCAATTTTATTAATGTCTTGGCACTCCATTTTCTGTTCTACTGGCTCAAAGATAGTCATTCCTCGCTCACGTCCCATTTTCACAAGACTATTAAGAAATAAACTGTAAAAGAAATGAAAATTAGATATGGTTCCTACATTATGACAATCAAGGGAGGGATTTCCAGTTGTTAAAAATGAATAATACATTAATGTACAGAAGAAGCGAGCAAATGTGACAGTTACATTCCTGGAAAAAGGCATGTTATATATATAAAGTGTGCTATATAGATGGAATAGCACACGAGGAAATTCTTGGGTAAATTCTCCCTTATGGCTAAGTTTTTAAAGTACATGCACACTTTACCAAGTTTGAAATTGGGTGAAGGGAGAAAAAGAAAGAAAAAGAAAGAGAAAGAGAAAGAGAAAGAGAAAGAGAGAGAGAGAGAGAGAGAGAGAGAGAGAGAGAGAGAGAGAGAGAGAGAGAGAGAGAGAGAGAGAGAGAGAGAAACAGAAAGAGAGAAAGAGAAAGAGAGAGAAAGAGAATGAGGAGAGAGAAAGAGAGAAAGAGAGAGCGCGAGCGTGCGTACGTACAAGTAATTAAGAAAGTGTAGTTGCATGGTGATAGCTATCCACATGTTATCCTGTCTTCCCAATAGCCTTTGTAATATGATGTTTTGAAATTAACAATGGTTTTGGCATTCACTTTTTTCTCTCATAACTTGTTCCAACCTTCTATAACTGTTTCCAAATGAGAACTTCATATTTTTTTCAACACCTTCCTTAGCTTATATAATAAAGTCCATCTCTGGCTAACTGCCAACAAACTCACCCTCAATATTGACAAAACTTTCTATATTTTGTTTGGTAATAAATCCTCAAATCAAATAAATCTCAGGATAAACAATACCCAAATTTGTAACAAAGTAGATGGCAAATTCCTAAGCATTCTCATTGACCACAAGCTGAATTTCCAGGGACACATTCTAAATATAGCAAAAAACCAGCGTTGAATGTAATGAAACGCCATTTTCTGGGTGAGCCCCGGAGGCTCCCTGGAGCTTATCGGGCTAATGTATGTTATGTTAGACCGGGACATTAGCTAAGGAGTTCAGACCTACCAGGGACCAGCGCCAGAACCTGGCCCCTTCAGAGAGGTTTCAGGGAGCAATGGCCCTGGAAAACCCCATATGGTTGGGGGTTTTCCGTATCTGCCATCGACCGGGGTTAGGCACCCAGAAAGGTAGGCGTAACAAAACAAACCCCACATGGTAAGAAACTACAACAAAAACCGAACAGAGAGGTAGAAAACTCCCTACAATCCAAGGAAACAAGCAAACAAGCAAACATCACACTTTACTGCCGCGCCGATCGTCCGCGCAGCCCTCCCCACCCCGGGAGGGGGAGGGGGGAGCCCCGGACCTACCGCGCCGGCTGCCAAGCTCCAGTTCGGAAGCTAAGCTTCAACCAACGCGAAAAAACCGCCGACCGGTGGGAGGGAGGGTTTCCAGGGAGCCTCCGGGGCTCACCCAGAAAATGGCGTTTCATTACATTCAACGCTGGTTTTCTGTGGGGAGCCCCTACGGCTCCCTGGAGCTTCATACCCAAAGAGAAGGAAAAGAAAGGGCTAACCCGGGAGGCGGCCGCCACAAACTCTGCAACGCAAAGCCAAGACAACCGGTCGCAAACCTGTGACCCAAGGCAACAAGAACGCCCAAGAACAGACGCACACATGGATGGGCGGCCAAAAACCTGTGCGACCCACAATTCCCTGCGCCCGAAATGAGCCCGAGACGTCACCAACACAGCAGCAATTGCTGCAAACGTCTGAACAGCACGGGCGCAAAGACAGACCGCAGGAAGAAGGAAAACACTGCGGACGACCTGGGAGACCCGATCCCTGAAAACAGGGAACGAAGGAACCGGATCAACCACAGCGCATCCCCAGGCACGGTACGCTGGCAACAGCAAAAAGCACAACTGGACAACACAGGACGCACCCCCCGGCCAAACCAAACAAGTACCAATACCCCAAGAACCCCTCCGGAAAGCAGCCGTCTCGACCGTCGCCAGGACAGAGAAAGGCTGCACACCAATAAAGCTACCACCAGTACCAAAGAGGAGGAAACTGAAACCGAAGGGGCTACCACAAACTGAGGGGAAGAGAAGGCACCCTGAACAAGGACCAGGATGGCTCAGGCGACTCATGAGCAGGCCGGAGGGGAAACAAAACGCGAGAAAACGTAATAAACGTCATACAGTCTCCAAGACGAAGCTCGCAGGTGGGACACCGTCAACAAAGCCACCTGAACACCATAGAGATGGCGATACCTGCGTCAAAATACCAGACGCGAAGAGCCAAAGAGAGGGCCGAACCAGTCACGGACAGGACCGATTCGGCCTGCTGAAAGAGGCGAAGCCTCAGGAAAAACGCCCCGGGTACGGACACCTATCAAGCAGCGTCTGAAAAGAAGGCCGGGCCGGCCACCGTGGAACCATAAGGACTGTTCTCGTGGGAATGGGCTGCAACCGAGCCAGAACCCGAAGCAACAGCTGGACCGGGAGAAGAGGTACAGGTACCCCCCACCTCGACCAGGCCTGCCGAAAGCCTCCACCGGGAAGTCCTCGCAGGTGGGAAGGGCGCCACAAAACGGGCGACGCCTAGACCACGCCGACCCGAAGACGTCCATGGCCAGGAGTCGATAAGCCCAACAGAGCCAACAAAACGAATCGGCGACGACTGGCCAACCCACGAAGAGGAATGAACCGAGACAGCTGTCCACCAGGACGCAGGACACACCCCGGACACGAACCACACGGTTAACCAAACCCCCTGTGGTTCCGGCAAGAACCACCAGAGAACAGTCCAAACAGAGCTGAATGGTAGAGTACCTAGTGACCCAAACCCTCCGAAGCGCAAACCAGACAGCCAGGAACACCTGAACCGGGCTGTGAGCCTGAACAGCCAAAGGCGGGACCACAGCCACAGTAACACTTCTGGAGGGAAGACAATGAGGGGCCCAAGAGCCTGAAACAAGGCCCAGGTCCGAACCCGGGACGGAAACAGAAGGTAAAACCTCCAGATCACCAGGAAACCAAACCCAGCGATCTGGAAAGAACCAACCCCTGGCGAGCAGACAAGCGGACTGACTGGGAGCCCACTCCAGCCAGTCGTCGAGGTAGGCCAGACACCGAATCTCAGACGCAGACAGGGCACTAAGATCCGGTAAAGATGCAAAGAGTATACAAAGTGCCCTTCACAAAATAGGGAATGCAATAAAAACAGCAAACCTGAAGCCCCACCACCAAAGCATTGTATGACAATCATATTAAGACATTATGACATATGACAATCATTATATGACAATATGACAATTATAATCAAAGCATTATATGACAAAGTGCTGGGAAGAAAGGACACCACGAGAGTAGCTCTCATCCTGTAACTACACTTAGGTAAGTACACATAGGTAATTACCAACCGTGCTAGCCCCAGAAAAACTGGAGAGGAACGTGCCAAGAAGTGACCTGGAGGTCCAGGTCCACCATCCATGCACCCGGCCCTAACAGAATCCGAACAGGAGACAACAGTCCTCCGAGCAGGGCAGAGGATCCAGGGCGCAGACGGAAGTAGTCCAGAAGAACTGCAGACTGGAAAAGCTCAGGACTGCAAAGAGCAGACGGGAAAAGCCCATGACTGCAAAGAGCAGACGGGAAGCCCAGAAGGATGGGGCGGATCGACCACGCCCCACGCACCCACGAAGAGGAAAAGACGAAGCGCAGGGAAGAAGCCCACCCCGCCAGCGCTGAACCCCCCCCAAGGGGGAGAAGCCGTCCTCCGACGCCAGCAGAGGCCGGAAGACAACCCAAAGCGCCCACCAACAGCGGGACCAAGCGAGAGGCAACAGAGCAAGCTGCTCCCCCAGCGCCCAGTCAACAGAGAAGGGAACAGAACCCCTTCAGAAAGAAAAAGTACACTACCGAAGTCATGAGGAGAGACTACGGGAATGAAACCACACTTCGCTGGAAGAGGAAGTGAGGGGAGACCTGATCACCACATACAAGATACCCAAGGGAATCGACAGGTTTGAGAAGGACAGGCTATGTAACACAAGGGGCACACGCACTAGGGGACACAGGTGGAAACTGAGTACCCAAAAGAGCCACAGATAGAATCAGTTTTTTTTTTTTTTTTTTTTTTTTTTTTTTTTTTTTTTTTTTTTTTTTTTTTTTGGTGTCAGAATGGGAACGGGAAAGCACGAAGAAGTAATGTGGCGACTCCTCACACAAGTAACGAGGCTGACCCCCATACAATGTCACATGTAGACATGACAGAGCCCAAGAGGCACAGGAACCGATACACCTGTTGACGGACGGTTGAGAGGCAGGACCAAGGAGCCAGAGCTCAACCCCCACAAGCACAACTAGGTGAGGACATATATTGTAAAAGCACAAGCCGCCGACTAGTGGCAAAGAGCACTACGCCGGCCAGGCAAAGAAGGCACAAAACTGCATCTAAAGGCCCACCTCGACAGCAAAACCACAAAGTCCCAGCACAACCACAACATGTGCCAAGACCCAAAAAGCTCAGTCTGCAAGCCAGGAAGACCCCGGAACCCCAAAAGGCAGAACCGGGTCACACGAGGAAACAAAGTCCCCTGAACCCACAAAAGGGGGCCCAAGAGGAAGAAACCTCCAGAACGAAACCAAGGAACCCAAAGGAACCCAGAATCGAACCAGGGGGAGCCCAAACCACCACATTTGCCGGCGGAGAACACCACTAAAAGGCAAAGCACAGACCCCAGCAGAACGCCCTGGGAAAACGGTCCCAACAGACCGAAAACCGAGGGGCAAGGTGTGGGAGCAAGCATACCAGCCAGGGGCACTGAGCCTAAACCCAGAGGCTCAGACCCAAAATCAACACCCAAACGTTCCCAGAGGAACAGGCAACGGCAAGAAAACACCAGAAAAACAAAGAAACGACAACAGGAGAACAAAAACCCTGCAAATTTTTTGAAAACCCACCAGAGACGCTCGCTCGCACACCCAGACGCATGTAAACAAACCGCAACGCCGCCCTGGTGGCCACGCCGGGAAACCGGCAGACGAAAATGGCCGCCAGCA